CAGAGGCACACCTAAATATATAAAACAAATATTACCAAATGCAAAGGGGGAAATTCACAGTAACATAATAATACTAGGTACTTTAACACCCCACTTAGATCAAAGAATAGAACAACCAGATAGAAAATAAGAAAACATTGGCCTTAAATGACATATTAGATCAGATACAGACTTGGTAGGCCATAAAAAAGTCTCAATATATTAAAATGTCTGAAATCATATGAAGTATCTTTTCTGACCATAATTACATGAAACTAGAAATCAGTTATAAGAAAAAAACTGGAAAAAACACAAATGTGTGGAAGCTAAACAACATGCTACTAAACAACCAATGGATCAATGAAGAAATCAAAGAAGAAATTAAAAAATATCTTGCAAGACATGAAGATGTAAACACAACTTTCCAAAATCTATGGGAGACAGCAAAAGCAATTCTAAGAGGGAAGTTTATAGTGATACAAGGCCTACGAAGAAACAAGAAAAATCTCCAAAAAACTATATCACATTACACTTAATGGTTCTAGAGAAAGAAGAACAAACAAAGCCCAAAGTTAGCAGAAGAAAGGAAATAATAAAGATCAGAGTGGAAATAAATGAAAGAGAAACTAAAAGTACAATAGCAAAGACCAATGGAATCAAGAGCTGGTTCTTTGAAAAGACAAACAAAATTTATAAACCTTTAGCCAGGCACATCAAGTAAAAAAGAGAGAGGACTCAAATAAATAGAATCAGAAATGAAAGAGAATTACAACTGACACCACAGAAATACAAAGGGTTAAAGAGACTACTATAAACAATTACATGCCAACAAATTGGATAACATAGAAGAAATGGATAAATTCCTAGAAACATACAATCTTCAAAGATTGAAACAGGAAGAAACTGAAAATCTGAACAGACTGATTTCTAGTAATGAAACTGAATCAGTAATCAAAAAACTTCCAAAAAACAAAATGACAGAACCAGATGGCTTTACAGGTGAATTCTACCAAACTCTTAAAGAGCCAATACCTATCCTTTTCATGCTATTCAAAAAATAGGAGAGAAAGGAATGCTTCCAAATTCACTTTGCAGGGCCAGAATTAACAATACCAAAGTCAGAGACACTACAAAAAATGAGAATTACAGGATAATATCCCTGATGAATACAGATGCAAAAATTCTCAACAAAATATTACTAGATGGAATTCAACAATACATTTAAAGGATTACACACCATGATCAAGTGGAATTTATTCCCAGATGCAAGGATGGTTCAATATCCACACATCAATCATGTATGCAATGTGATATGCCACATTAGCAAAATGAAAAATAAAAATCACATGATCATCTCAATAGATACAGAATAAGCACTTGACAAAATACAATATCCATTTGTGATTAAAAACTGAACAAAGTGGGTATAGAGGAAAGATACCTCAACCAAATATTATTAATAAAGGCCATATATTATAAACCTAAAGCTAACATACTTGAAAACTTCTCCTCTAAGATCAGGAACAAGAGAAGGATGCTCACTCTTGCCACATGTACTCAACATATTATTGGAAGTCTTAGCCAGAGCAATTAGGCAAGCAAAAGAAATAAAAGGCATGCAAATTGGTAAGGAAGAAGTAAGCCTGTCACTCATTGCAGATGACATGATACTACATATAAAAAACTCTAAAGACTCATCAAAAAGCTAATAAATGAATTTAGTAAAGTCATAGGATACAATATCAATATACAGAGTCTGTTGCATTTCTATACACAACTAATGAACTAGGAGAAAGAAAAATTTTAGAAACAATCCCAATTACAGTTGCAACAGAAAGAATAAAAATACTTAGGAATGATTAACTAAAGAGATAAAAGACCTGTACTCTAAAAACTGTATGACACTGATGAAGGAAACTGAAGATGACATAAATAAATGGAAAGCTCTTCTATGCTAATGATTAGAATTAACATTGTTAAAACAATGACACTACCAAAAGCATCTACAGATTCAACCCCTATCAAAATCCCAATGGCAGTTTTCACAGAACTAGAGAAAAATAATCCTAAAATCTGTATGGAACTACAGAAGACCCTGAATAGCCAAAGAAACTTGAGAAAGAGGAACAAAGTTGGAGTACCATACCCTCAGACTTCAAACTATATTACAAAGCTATAGTAATCAAAAAAGTATGGTAGTGACTGGCACAAAAGACATATAGATCAATGGAACAGACTAGAGAGCCCAGAAATAAATCCATGCTTATATGGTCAATTAACATGACAATGTAAGCATGAATATGTAATGGATAGAAGAAAGACCCTTTAATAAACTGTGCCAGGAAAACTGGACAGCTATATGCAAAAGAATGAAACTGGACCTCTTTCTTACACTACAAACAAAAATCAACTCATAATGAATTACAGACTTAAATGCAAGACCTGAAAACAAAACTCCTAGAAGAAAATACAGGAGTAAGTGCTCTGACATCAGTCTTAATATTATTTTGAGCCTGTCTGTTAGGCAAGGAGAACAGGAGTAAAAATAAACAAATGTGACTAAAGCAAACTAAAAAGCTTTTGCCCTGTGTAGGAAACTCCACAAAACAAAGAGCCAACCTACTGAATGAGAGAAGATATTCTTCACAGATAACATATCCTATAAGGGGTTAACTTTCAGTTGTATACAAATAATTCATACAATTCAATATCAAAAAGCAAACCATTTGATTTAAAAATGGGCAGAGTACTTGAACAGATGTCTTTGCAAAGAAGACATATAGATTGATTCAACAGACATAGGTAATGATGCTCAATGTCACTAACCAAAATCACAGTATCACCTCACACCTGTCAGTATTAAAAGGACAGGAAATAATAAGCATTGGTGAGGATATGGATAAAAGGCAATTTTCATGCATTGTTTGGGGAATGTAAATTTATGCCATTATCTATGAAAAACAGTATGGAGGTTCCTCAAAAATTAAAAGTAGACCTATTTATGACCCAGAAATTCCATTTCTAGGTATTTATCCAAAGAAAACAAGAATGTTAATAAAAAAGATATATGTACCCTATGTTCATCACAGCATTATTTACAATAGCCGAGATTTGGAAGCAACTTAAATGCCCACTGATAGATGAATGGATAAAGAAGATGAGGTACACACACACACACACACACACAAAATGTATACAATGGAATATTATGCAGCCATAAAAAGAATGAAATCTTGCCATTTGTGACAGCACAGGTGCATGCTAAGTGGAGTAAGTTAGAGGAGGACACTGAATGATTTCATGTATAGGTGGAATCTAAAAAACAAATGTACAAACAAAACTAAACAAAAACATACTCATGGACACAGAGAACAAACTAATGGTTGCTAGAGGGGAAGCAGGTGTGGGGATGGATGACATGGGTAAAGGAGATTAAGGGTTACAATCTTCCAGTTGTAAAATAAATAAGACACAGGGATGTAATATACAGCATAGGGAATATAGTCAATAATATTTCAACAACTTTGTATAGTGACAGATGGTAACTAGACTTGTGAACATTTCATAATGTATATAAACATCAATTCACTGTTGTACACCTGAAACTAACAAAATATTGTACATCAATCATTCTTCAATAAAAAAGTATGTTGGTCAGGAGTTTGTATTGAACAGGAATTCGTCTTAATGTTAAAAATGATTTATACTTAAATTTCTGACATGAATAAATTACTTAGGAAATTCAGTAAATCTTGGATTATGACTTACTGGTTCCTCATTAAGAACTTATCCTCATTTTTCTCATGAATTGTTAAGAGAGGGAATGAGTAAGGTGGTCCAACAAATCTGTAAAAGAAGGCAGAAAACCACTTGTATAGCTTAACCAGAAATTTCTTCTGAAAACTACTGGTATGAAGTTATAAAAAAATAACTGCAGACAAATCCTGCTTTTCTGGCACTTTTCAAGTCCATGTATGAACTGTGTGTATTTTGTATTTCAATGGATACTCATAAAACTAATGATTATTATCTTATTGAATTCAGTCCAATTAAGAGAGGCTGTTATTGTCTAGGAACCTTTTGGGCCATTTCCCAGTTCTTTCTCTATCTCTTACTTTATAAAAATAACGATATTCTGTTTTGGATACCTTCTACCTCCTTCTGGAACTGCCTTTGTGACTAAGGGATTATATAAACTTATCATCTGACATTTGAATATGCTTGTTTAATTTTGAACCATATTATTTTGGAAACAACATATATAGGAAAGACATTATTAGACAAAGAGGCTTGAGGTGATACATCTAAGTCACTATTTCAATTTTCTCACCTGCAAAAATGAGTTTCTCTCACTTGCCCGTGGCTTTATGGAAATGCTGAGATATTTCATGAGAATGTTGGCCAGATTCTATCAGAAATTAGATTATGTCCTAGTCACCAGGAACTTTCTGAGACACATGCATCATTTATTAATATAGAGAACACCACCCAACTAACGTTACAGTGACATGTAATAAGACAAAACGTTTGTGTAAAATGTTTGCGTAAATGGCATGTAAGCAGTCCAAAAATATTTGTGGTTTTCCAAGTGCCAAACTCACATTAATTGAGCTATTTGCACAGTAGGGGGAACTGGTGAGACTAATGCACTGTGGAAATGTAGTGTATCACTATGATTTCTACCAGAGATAACAGACACTACCAGCTAAGCTCTGCCAGGAAGTGCAAGAGAAAATTTTAGAGGCACTGACATGACATGAAAGTTGGCTGTCGTACAACAGCTATAAGGATTCCACTAGAGGAAAACAATTTTAATTTGAAAAATTTCCATATACCTAATGTGGGTTTCTTTTCAGTATATTTGGTTCTATTTTTGAGAACTGCAAAGTATGATACACTGGAGCTGTTCAGTACACAATCCTTATTTGTACTATTCCTTTACCTGTGATCAATTATTGGACTGTTAATCTACAATAATACCTCTATGATATTTGGAAAGTAGACACACAAACTTCTGTTCATAAGGAATATAAATTGTGGTTTTAATTGTATTATGGTTATTTTTGTACATGCCTATATTGTCAGATCTGGTCTGTTTTATTAATCACCTTCCCATCATTACCCATTGTCTTATAGCCTCCTATCCATATGTTGATAAGGTTTGTTGACTGTACTTCCTTTGTATCTCACCAATCCATCTGCTCCACTCCATCTGTTACCACTGTTATCATCGCTAATTTAGATTACTAAAATGGGTTCCTCACGTAGTTTCCTGGTTACTCTAACTCATTGTTCACAGTACTGTTAAAGTGATTCTTCTTCTTCCTAAAAGCCCTTCCAATGGTGCTCCCAAAATGTCAATGTATAAACAGGGCATGTGAGTCCCTGCAAGATGGATCCTAGGCCTCTGCTCAACTCTCATCACTGCCATCTTATTTTGTGTTCCAATTATATGGAGCTCCCTTGTTATACTTCAAAAATGCCACGCTCTGTTTCAGTTACATGCTGCTCATTTTGTTAAATATCCTCCTTTAATCTCCCTGTCTCACTCATTCTCTCCTATTTCATCTGGCTAATTGACATTCACCCTCCAAAATGTCAAGAAATTGTGCTTGATCTCCACTGCTGGCTCCTACTTCTTCTTGAGCTGACCTCTGTTTCAGCACTTACCATGCTGAAGGCTAACTATGTCCCCACGAGGCTGTGGGCTGCTCAAGAAAATGAGCTTTGCCTTGTTTCTGTTCTGAGCACCCAGCACAGTGCCTACCACATGGAAGGTGCTTAAATACATTCCTTGCAGGAAGGAAAGAACAGATAAATATAAAGTCTAAGCTTTAAGCATCTGAAAAATTCACTTGTGTGGAACCAATTCATTTCTTAAAAATATGATAAATGTTGGGTAAACATGAGGTACTACTTTAGCCACTTGATGGGAAGCCTGGTTGCAACTAAAAACAATTATATCTTTAATCAAAAAACAAAATATTCAGGATAGCTAGAGAGCCACAAAGCAAACAGACTATTCTTTAAATATCTTGATAAAAATATAGTCATGTTACAAATACCACATGCTAATCCAAAATTAAAAACAAAATCAAACAAACAGCATCACAGAAACCAGTTAACAAAAAAAACCTAAAACACTGATTCTAGGAATGGGGAAGGGTATACACAAGATAAGCACAGAACATCTTGCAGTATCAAAAAATAAGGAAGTACTCAAAAAATTAAGACAAAAAAATCCACAATGATGGGATGTGTCAAAGGGAGACAGCAGCTAGCTGAAAGACACCCAGTGGCCCACAGTGGAAAACCTGGGAAAGAAAAATAAAAGTGTTAAATTACAACCAAAGAATGTAAGCTAGTTCAACCATTGTGGAAAGCAATATGGAGGTTCCTCAAAAAATTAAAAATAGAAATACCATTTGACCCGGAAATCCCACTCCTTGGAATTTACCCAAAGAATACTTTTCAGATTCAAAAAGACATATGCAGCCCTACGTTTATCACAGCACTTTTTACAATAACCAAGATATGGAAGCAACCTAAGTGTCCATCAGTAGATGAATGGATAAAGAAGACGTGGTACATATACACAATGGAATATTATTCATCCATAAGAAAGAAACAAATCC